GTTTATTTTGAAAGTGGCATAAGTCACTTTGTTTTTAAGTCGATATATATTTAAGGGTTTGCGTTTTAACACGTTTAAAAATATGGATGCTAACTTTCGAGAAGATTTACTTGTATTTGTTATCTCAGGATACTGATATTTTTCTCAGTATAAATAATTTCGTATAAACATTAAAAAATCATCACTTTTCATTACGGTAAAGTGACTTATACCACTTTCAAAATAAACGGCTCAAATATAGGAATTAGCGTAAAGATCGTCAACGGTGGCCGTAATTAATTTCGCGAGTTCTTCGCATACGCGGTGCACGCGCGGGCGCATCGAGCCGTGCGTCGTCGTCGATCCGCTCGTGAATTATGCATGCGATTTAGGCATGGTCTCTCTCGAGGGACGGAGATAACAGTCGAACGATAATAATCAAAGCTACGTGTTCGGCCGGGTCATTTACCTACGCTTACCGGCCACTCTCGTGTAACAACCAATGGGACAGCGACGTCATCTGGTCGTTCAAACGGAATTTCTTTCTCTTCGTGGCCAGTATCAGCTGCTCCAGAACGATCAGCACGAAGAACGGCAGCCATACCTGCGCACAACAAACAAACCGATTCGCGCGTTAGAACGAGATCGGAAACGCCGAACTTTGAGTCGAGTGCGAAGTCCGTCGCGTCGACGCAACAATGCGACGGCGGAAAATGTAACGCTGTCCGACGAAAAAATCCGTCGAGATAACGACGATTGTCGTCGACGGGGCGCAACGAATGGGCCGAAAGCTTTCATAGAACGAACGATTTCAAATCGAATCGCAACGAAGCGTGCGAACTGCCCGAATTGCGATTTGGCTCGCGAAGAATTTCCACTCGATCTGACCTGTCAAAATCGATCGCAAACTATCGCATGCCGAAAGCGCCTAGGTTCGCGGGAACGCGCAGCATTCGAAGAAGTTGCACTCGCGACGGTCACCGAACGGATATTTCGCGACACGTTCTCGATAATTAGCAATTAACGCCTGTTTATTATCGTGTAAATGCTTCTAGATCGTGTAGAATCGTGATGGACCGTGGATGTTGCGGGTTTTAGGACGAGAGCGACCAAATCGCGATTTGAGAGGTTAGAAAGATTTCAAGAACGGACATGTGTCAACGTATCGCGTTCGTCCGCCGCTAAAGCGATTCGAAAAAGAAGGGAAATAGATTCCAGAATGACTTCTGTCGCTCGTGATGGATACAGAAAATGTTCATCTCGCGTAAAGATCCGGTGATCTAATTCGAAATCAATCTCTAACAACACTGATCGGTTGCGTCGCGTTGCGTTGACGTTTTCTCTGCAGGACCATAGTAATCGATGGACCGCGCGTCAAGAGACAAGCACGAGTTATTCTTCTTTCTTCGATCGTTTCAACAAGTTCGAACGAGAATACCGCGACGTTCTCGTCTCGATTCACTGTTTCAAATTTCGTAGCCGCTTGCCTCTGCCGTAAACGCGTGGAAATCCGCGGTCCAGCGATCGCTATGCATCCGATCGTGATGCGTCGATTTACCTGGCGTTGATAGTCCGGCACCTGTCCGGGAAATTGGAAGATCGTTTCGCAAGGGTTGACGAGGTAGAAGAGCTTGCCGGCGTTCCAGAGAGGGCCGAGGATCAGATCGACACGCGAGACGTTCATTTTCTGCACTGACCTAAAGCGCGGTTTCTGCTTGCGGGTTTCGGTCGCGCCGCCGTTGCTCTTCTGCGATCATATATGCGAGGTGAGAAGAGAGAAAAAAAGAAGAAAAGGAGGAGAAAAATAGACGATAAGAATAGAGCCGTCAACGGACGCACCGACACCGTCGGACAACTGTTGTCGATCATCCGTACACACCGTGCACGCATCGTTTATATACATATGCGAGTTCGCGTCGCGTCGCCTCGGATCCTCTCGAGGACACGTGAGTATATACGCGCGCGCGTTGCCTCTTTCACGGCCGTATACGTGATAATGGTGCGACAATGAAGACGACAACCGCAATGCAACAACGTTGTCGTTGTCGCTGCACGATCTGAACACCGGCGAACGCACGGTTAAATTCGGCCGGTTCTTCTAGGATTTCTTCGAAAGAAAAACATTAGATTTGAAACTAGAGAAGTCGTGTATTCGCTAACATTTATTTATTTATTTATTCCTTCATTTAATTTAAGGTTAATGTCAAGACGGATTTGCCGCATTTATAGCGAACTCGAGCGTCCACAATTTGAAACCGGAGTCGGGCGATATTTCATTCGGATAACGGACGGAAGATAAAAATGAACAAACACGCAATTTTATTCGTATCTTTTACGGTAATGTCGAACGACCGTTCGGTCAAATAAAAATTGATGTAGGCTACGGTTTCTCGGAATGATGTACGAGTTAAATGAGCTACAATTTCGATCGTCGATCTACCGTACTCCCCTAATGTACGTCGAGGCGTGAATCTTTCCTGTGCGAACGACTAATCGCTTGGCAAAGAGTACGAACGTGTTATCGTTACTCGACTTCTTCGTTAAATAATCGATAAGACCGTTGCGTCGCACCGATAACCGCTGTGTATTCGTAATTCACGGTTCTTTTATACATCGAGCGATAGCAGCCGCGAATTTTCAGATAATTCCAAAATTAGCGATTCCAAAATTAACGAAACCAACGCGTCGCTGCTCCGACTCTGCCGCGGACACCCCGCGACGACCGGTCGGTATTGCTCCGCGTTCAATTTTATTTTTCGCTTCCGAGATTTTTGAGATCGTTTCCGACAAAGTCCACGAAAGTGCAATAAACGCGTTAATTGCGTCACGAAGATGCACGGGACACGGAGGAATGTTCAAGAAAATAACAAAATGCAAGACGCTGGTGTAGGCGTTATTATATGTATTTATTATTATTATTATTATTATTATTATATGTATTTTATAATATAAAATTACTCGATTAAACTATGTAAAAATTTGTATTAGTTTTAGGCAGATTGTACATAGTTCTGGATAGGTTGTACAAGTTTTTTTTTTAAACAATTTCTACAGTTTTTAGACAAACCCTACAAAACAGTGAAAACGTTCGAGAGAATTGAAAAATATATAGTTGCATTATTTACGAATCATTGAAATTATTCTTCTTTCGATTAGCGAAATCAATTTTTATTTTGTATAAAATCCCGCAGCCTAGTTATGCACGATCAGTTTTAATGATGAATTATTCGGTGGAACGAGAACATGACCCTAAAATGTCGACAGTGCCAGATAAGAAGAAACAGTATGTATGTAAATCGGCCGACTTAATACGCCGCGAGATAGGCTTTTCGTGTCACTGTTGCGCTTAAAAGGTTTCCTTTTACGTTCAGCGAATGTTCAAACAATTTATTGTTTCGCTGTGGTATCGAGTTTGTCGTCCGTTATATAATTGTGCGATTATTCTTATCCTTTTATCATTTATCCGTGTGCACATTGCTCAATGTATCATTGATTTCGGTGAATCTTTTTTTTTTTTTAAGGGAACAAATAATATGTTCGATCGGTATTGTAATTCATTTATATCTTTCAGCTCGTATTATCCAAGAATCCACTGCTTCGGGAACGATATAGTCGAAATTCAACAGAGATTTTAATTACGGCAAATAGGTTAATTGATTTTTATTATTTAGAGCTTCTTTCTGTGACATTTATTTCGTCAGAGGATACGAGGTACGAGAAACATCGATTAGGAAGAAAATAAGCTTTCCAATCTTACGTATTTGCAACAATATATATGTATATGTATATATAATTAAGAATACTTCATACAGCGCCAATCCTCGTTGCGGCGAAACGCTCAAACTAGTAGGCAAATTTACCGACAGACAATTTAACGTCGTGACAGGAGCGTTATCGTACCACAGACGATATCTGTGATGAAACCTGGAAACAATTTTGTATGCCGAGAGTCCGATGGTATATTATTATTTATGAGTTGAACAAACATTTTGGAGCCACAGTAATATGTTAGAGAACAATTTCCCATGCTATGAATTTGACATTCGTAATTAATAAATTATTAGCGATTGTTCATGAACGCATTTCTTTCTCTAATATGTATCTCCTACAATGTGTGAAAGACAAGGACAGTTGATTGTGCAACGAGAACAGCGATAGAATTCTGCCACCAACTTTCTTTCATGCGGCTCCTTGCGGCTTTTTCCTCGTCGCGCCATGCATGGCGAAAACATGAAACTGTTGGTCAAATGTTTGACGAATAGCCTCTGCGTTTTCTCACGGATGGCGCCACAAGTTCTTGGCGTGTTTCATTTCAGATGTTTTAAATAAGTAGTGTTTTTAGTCATAATAGGAACGATTAAAAACTGTATTTTGTTAAACAAAATTAATACTTTCAGTCTCTTAAAGCTAAACTTAGGTTTAAGAATGATCCGAGGACACAGTAATCAGAAAAGTCACAGTTACTAACGCATCTAACCTATACATAATTATTTTTGACTAGGATACATACATCTACATTTGAAAACAATTGGTCCGCGAAGACAACACACAAGCTACAATAATTGCTATGACTGTTAATGGCTCTCTAAGTACATAAGAGTCAAGTATTAAAATGTCGAACCAACAGTACACATTTTTAGGTATAGATTCGTACATCGAGCCGCTTTTGAAACGTGTTTTAGAAGCCAACGAACTCAGTAAGATTATTATTTAATACAAAGTAAATTATATTATATGTTATTAAATTGTGAATATTTATGAAAGTTTCCAATTTCGTAATCCATTGGTTCTTTAATCGATGATGTAAACCACTGTTGAATTTCAGTGTCTGCAATAAGGTCTATTGAAGTCCATATTTACATAAATGTTCACAGTCTAATAATACGCATTTGACATTTTATAATATTGTGTTTTAATTTATTCTCGAGGGATGTCTGGAGAAAAACCTACCAGAAGATTATCTAGGACAATCCAAATAGAAACTACATCGTCAAGTTGCGACAAAGCTGAAGGAGATCATTTCAAACTATCTATTTCATATGCAAGACAGATTTTAACATGGAATGTATATTTTGATTCACAATGCCCTGAAATGGGTCCCGATTTTCTCTTCAATGATGATACTTTTTTAACGGACATGAACATTGATACTTTATCTGATAGACTTCCCAGTCTCACGAAATGGAATGTCAACGACCAGGATGCATTGTTAAATGTTCTTATGGAGCTTTTATTGTGTTACAAGCAGCATCAGGTTTATAATAATCCATCATTGATTATACATTGTATAAACTATATTTAATGTAGTACAGTCTTTTTTGTTGTAGGTACAATTACTTGAGAAGCAAGACAGATTAAAGCTAGAATACACTATGCTAATGAGTTCAACAGACATAGCACAAGAAGATGTTGAAGTGATGTTACTACCATTTGGTTCCAAACCAACAGAAGCTAAATTTTTGATAAGCTTATCGATTGATGTTTCTCAGTTACAAAATCGACCATTTGAATCACAAAATGATGTGGCAATGCTTCTTGTAACATTTTATGGACCAAATTGGAATCGTATTATGCCACAAATTTATTTTTCTAAATACTTAGAACAAGTTCTTGATGGAATATCAGCCTTGGAGTTACCACATTATCCGATAGATAAATGTCTAACAGATTATGTACTAGAGATAAAGAAATACGTAGAAGAGAAGGCACGCAATTTTTACATAATAAATTTTAAATAATTTTTCTATTTTTACTAATGTAAATGTTTGTTTCAGATAAAATCATTGGTTCAGATTTTCGAAAGCAGATGTCTCTTTGTTACAACGGTATTAAAGTATCAATTTAAATCTGTTCTAGAA